GTAAAGGAATATAGGTCTTATTGATATAATATAATAGAATCTCATTCTTAACACAATTATAAAAATACAACAAATAAATTTTTATTGTTGGTCGAAAGTGCCACTATAAATAAAATTCTGTAAGATTAAATGAGAAATGCAGCAAATGGGGTATATAGATGATAAATTATATACAGGTATATACGATATAAAGCAAATATATCTGCTGATTATGCTGTTTTTGGAAATTTGAAAATTTTTGGAAATCAATCAAATACGTTTATAAATGTTGCTACATACGTTGTTGATTTTGTGTTTTTATAACTTCTTATTTTTATACTTGTTTTATAATTTCGTTTTACATTACAACATTTGGACGATTTGCAAAATATAAAATATTAATAATATAAAATATCTTTATATTATTAATTTTATATATTTATATTATTAAAGTCACAAATAAGCAGTAAAAGGGATAAAAAAAATAAAGAAATATACATAAATTAAATTGAATAAGAAAGTTCAAATAGTAATAAAAAGTAACAATACCGATCGTTAAATTTAAAGGTCTTATTAAATGTAATACATTCGGCTTATGTCCATGTCTATATCAATTTTTCTGTTGATCTTCTTTTTATTAAACGTTTGTATCAAAAGTTTTTTCATTAATATTTTGGAAATTATTAAATTACTGGCGCAAAAATTTTAATTTTGGCATTTGTTCCTCCACTCTTTAAAAAACTCTTTCCTCTTCTTCAAATTTCATCTTGATCGGCTACCGTAACTATAGCCCTAAAATGTACATATATGTACATGTAATATTCATTAAGCGCACAACGCTTTAGTATGATATCTTTAAAAACATACAGTACCTTAATAATAAGTATGAAACCGTATAATTTTTATTTTTTTTTAATTTAGTAATAGTAATTTCGTTAAAAAAAAGTCTGTATGAGGAAACATCTAACCTCAAACAGTTTGGGTTTGATGCTAAATTCTTTACCGAGATTGGTGACAGAGAGGAATAATGAAATTATCAATTCATAAAAGAAGAAGACTCTTTCTGAACAAATTTGGGTTAAGGAGATTCTTCATCAAAACATTCAGGAAAAAGATTTTCTGTTTTGAAGTTTCATGGAAATGAATATTAAAAATTCTAGTTACAACGAAGCTATGGAATAAGATATCGTGTTATGGATCGGAAATGAATAAAAAGGTTAATTTCAATCAAACTAATGTTAATAATACATATGTTTTTCTAAATTAGTCTCTAAAGTAGAATTTTATAATCGAGGCCATATGGCTCTTCATGGGGCCTAACATCGAATTTTTGGAGTCACAAGAAATGTTTATACGAAATATTTATAAATTGATCTATAGAAATATATAAAAGTTCAATTGAATCTTGTATTTCTGCTGTAAATTCAGACATTTGGGAAATACAAAGAAAATAAGGACTGGAGGATCATAAACCAAAAATGGTTGAGAAATCCTGTTTTAGAGCTTGACCAAATGTTATCCTTGTTGAGGTTAGGGAATATTTATACAGATATCTACAAAAGTATATACTCTCTATACTCTAAAAGTAGAAAACAACCTGGAAAAACATTGATAAAGTCAAAAAGACGCAGCAACTTTATTCAAATAGAAACCAAAGACAAAGTAGGTATCTAAAATTAAAGAACATTATACATTAGTAATAGTTTTTAAAAAAATTACCTCTGAGAAATATGAAGGTTTTAAGTATGAGGAATACATAATAAGTGTTCTATATGTCATTCATAAAAATATAAATGTCTGTCATACCATCATCAATTTATTAAAAAATGTAATTACATTATTATACAAATAATAAATTGAAAAGATAAATGAAATATGCTTAACTCTAGACATTTAAATTAACAATGTGCCAGTGGTACAGAAAAGTTTCTTATATTAAAATACACTTCCTTATCATATTGAATCTCATTATCACAAGAGAAGTTAATTAAAATCATACATGTGATTATATTGCTACTGTATTAAATAACTGCAATATGTCAATCATAAAAATTTAATGTACTATAACAAATAATGGAACAAATGTAGTTACTGAAAAAATCACTATATTTCTTGTACTCTAATAATTTAATAGTTCAGGCTGGTTTGAAGAAATTTAAAGAATCAGTTATTTAATTATATTATGGGGTGTCAAGTATATCAACTAAAAAATTAATAATATATGTTAGTATTAGGTATTATATATTACAAAAATTTTTGGGATGATCAAGAATTTTACCATACTTTCCCTTGTATATTATCTGAAGTAGAAATTATTAAAGAATTAATTCCCTTACTAAAGCTATTTGATTTTATTGTTAAAAAATCTTTCCAAGGATATTATATTATATTTGTAAACCCGATGATAAGTTTTTTTAAAGTAATACATGTAGAAGTTTCTTCTATATTTAATTAGATAAGATACATTCAAAAATGCTTTAAGCATAGACATAAATTTTTAATAAGAAGAATATATATAATATATATATGCATTAATTGCTACATTGTTAGATCATGATATTAAAAATATTAATTTTTGAGATACAAGTTCAAAAGCAAAGGAAATAATAAAACAAGATAGTTGTAATGTAAATATTAAGTTAGAGACAAAAGAAACTTCCAAAATCAAATATAACTTCTAGTAACAATATAAACAAATAAATAAATGAAAAAGACGAATACTAAAAGTAATTAGTTATCAATATACTCGTCTTCCTTGTTTCTAGTATTAATGTTTTCACTGCTGAGAGAATTGGGGAGACATAGAAACAATGTTTTCATCATTGATTAGATAGGCTTGAATGTTTGTATGTTTGTAGTTTCATTATTTCTTTGTGTAACATTATTTTCAAAGACAGGAACCTCCATCATTAAGAATGAAAATCGATGTGTAAAAAAATATTTTAAAAATTATTATTTTTGACAAATATTTAAAAAGATTCATTTTACCATTAGTGTATCAAAATGTATTGTATAAATAAATTTTTCTTAATAAAATATATTGATAAAAAATGATATTGTGTTTATCTTGATTCATTGTAGGTATCGATATGTTTATTTTGATTTCAAGTATAGACATATCGATACCGTTTTCAATACAAGTAATCAATGAAAGTATCGATTATTTAGTCGTATCGATACGTTCTTAACCTTAAAGACTCTGAGAAAACTGTTTGCAACTAAAAAGTAGTAAGCAGATTTATCGTCACCTTAACAACGTAGTCTTCGATACATAACCCATCACACTTCAATTTGACATTTGACCACCCATCCATTTGTGTTTGGTACAGTACCGGTATCGGTTGGTACATAACGCAAGACACCAGGGTGCAGCACGAGTAGGTGTAGTGAGTAGATTATTCCGTTACAGAGAGTCTTCCGATTTTATTAAAATTCTTCGTAGTAGAGAAGATATCTCAGGTGAGTAGAAGTTAGCATCGGGAAGAAACATTGACATATATAGATAAAACATTAGCGTTATCGTGATTTTTCGTTGGCTATGTTATATCTCATTCCAACTTTCGCTCCCTGAACCAAATGTAACTAAAAGTTACCAATCTAACACTGAATCAAACTTAACCAAAGTTCAAGATTAATCAAACTTAACCAAAATCAATCCAAATTCAACTAAACCTAACCAAACTCGATCCAAACCTAAATTTAATTCTATATTGAATTATGTTTGAGTTTGGTTTACATAGATTATTATTATAATATTAAATTAAACTTTCTATATCCCGGTTATGTTCTATGTCAACTGCAGTTTGAATTAAACTAAGTTTAGTCAAGTTTAGTCAGATTATATTTCGTTTTGTTAAGACTTGATTAAAGTTGGTTATGTTACATTATATCTGACACCGAATTATTTCTTTGATTAAAGTGAGTTAGATTCAACCAAATAACGTTAAATTAGATTAAGTTATATTTGGGTTTGGATAATTCAAGTTAGATTATAATCGTGGGATGATTTTTAAGTTAGAATACTACTTAGGTTAGAATAAGATTGTTAGATTGAATTAATTTTTTATTAGATCAAGTTTTGTTGGATTAGATAAGTTATATTTAATAGGGTCTAATTAGAATTAGAATTTAGTGTAGAATTCGATCTAGTTTCGACCAAATGTGGTTAGATTTGCAAATTAGGTTAAATATGGTAAATATATTAGGATACAGATCAGATACAGATTTGGTCTCCACTAAAATTGATGTTTGTTTCGTTTACGTCAAGTTATGTTAAAATTCGATTAATCCGTGTCGAATTGATCAAGTGAAATTAGGTTATGTCGAGTTAGACTTAGGTTTCGTAGATCCACCAGTGCAGTATTTAGTTAATAGCTAGCTCTATCGTTCATTTCGTCAATATATTGCCAAAAAATAAGCAAAGTAACGGAGTTATGTTACAACTGGAATGAATCAGTTGACTTAGTGTGATGCGCAAAGCGGTTGCGTGTTCGTCGAAAAAAAGCGCGGAAGATCTGTGGCGCAAACTCTGATGTAACAGGTGGTTAAACCGCTGTAAAACAACTATATAAGGCTCGAGAATTAAAAGCAAACTTACTTCGTTACCAAGTAAACGTGAAGTTGACATCCAATGTTCCACATCTTCATCACACAGTTACCATATTAAATTCTGAAAACAATTTAATACAAATTCTTTCTGTTGATATAAACATTGAACAATACATTATAATGGAACATAATATTTTTGTACAAATTTTATTTTACGATAAAAATATCAATTTGCGAATGTATATTTTGCAATAAAAAATTAAGTTGCTTCTTTCATGGAAGCTACTGTACGTCACATAGAAATGGATGCATCTGCGTTTCGCGAGTACAGGAATGATCGTTACTAAAAAATAAGTATAAACGAACGAGAATTTTAGGAAATAATGAAAAGGTTTATGACGTGTCATTATGCATATTTATATTGACCGATGTCTAAGTACATTGAATAAGGAATTTCGAGTCTCAACATAGCAATTACAGAAGTAAATTAGTTGAAAACTGTGATTCATCTAGAACGTGAACTGACGTCCCTTCGACACACACACTATACAGATTTGTACGCATTCGCATCATTCTTTCTACGTTATCTCGTACGCATATACACCTAGTTAACATCAAAATAAATCTATATCCGGCATTAATTATAATTCCAATCGGGGTTATGTACACGACGGCGGAATAAAGTACTATGCGCGAAACCCTCTCGTTACTTGGATCCTACAACGTGTTAGATCTTTATCATATACATGTATATATATATATCGTTACTTTTGAACGTTTCGAATAGGTAACGCTTCTTGAATCCATAATACGTCAGTAGATTTAGCACAGTGTCTTCTCCATTTTCCCTGATAGCGCTTTTCATTAGGCACTCCTCGCACTAAACGAATGAACAACGGTCGTATCGCAACAAACCTGTACGTAACAATTCGTACATCTAGCAAGTGTACAAGTAGCAAGTGTACATGACTTTGGGACACAGACACTGTAAGTAATTACGTCACAAATTAATTTCTCAATCGTTCGCATCGACGATTCACGTCTGTGCAGCGTATGCACTACAATCGAGTCAGCCATTCGTTTCACGAGGCTAAGAACAGACTTGGTTCCGAATGCACGTGTCACTTTAACGATTCACAAAATACGATACGAATAGCCAGTCGATTATCACTGTACGCACATGGTGCTTTACAGTACATGCGTTGTATAGTAGTCCTACCACGATTATTCCGTTCGCATGTGTCCCATCGTTCCGTCGTCCAACAACTATATCATACAATACACGTGTGTGCAGATTTCCGTAGATCCATAACCGGCGGAGGGCTGAATCACGTTCTACCAAGGCCTCCACATTCCTTCTTCGTCCTTTGCTGGTTGCTGTGGAAGAGGAGATGGTGAACGAATCCCTGTGACGAATTCGCCACTCGTATGACTGGACGGCCTGTCTTCCGAGTGAGGGACTGATCCTTCGGCGGGTAAACGACCTATGAACTGCTGCTGATGCTGTTGTTGCGGCTGTTGCTGCGTCTGTTGCTGTGACTGTTGCTGTTGGAGATGGTGTTCTACGTTACTCACAGCTGTGATTGAAGTTCTGGTACTGGGTTTTGGTTTCTTCGAGGTAGTTGTGAAATCAAGCGGCTGTTCTGGTTGCTCGAGCCTTGGACTCTTACTTGGCTTTGAACCAATGGCTGATATCGCATTGGTAGCGAAGGTAGAAACGGGGGCGGAAGCGGAAATGGAAGCGGAAACAGAAGCGTTGCCGGACGTAGCGGCAGCGGCAACGGTAGCGGCAACAGCAGCAGCAGCAGCATTAACGGCAACGGTAGCCGCATCCTGCCATTCTTGTATATCTTCGTGCGGTCGTTTCGTGGCGAGTTTATCCGTCGCCTTGAGAAGAGACATATTAGTGGCAGCCCATATGGCCGTCGGTGGATTTGGCCCAATACTGATACCGTTCGCTGCGGCCGCAGCTGCGAGCTGAACGTAATGACTAGGAAGTAGGAAAACTACTTGACCATCGGGTAGTCTGGAAGGTATCACCTGCACGACTGACAACATGTTTGGATTTTGCTGCGAACTGGAAGCCTGATCGATAACCGATATACCAGGAGGAGGGGGTGGAGGTGGATGATGATGAGAATCAAGGGTGCTGGTATTAACCTGACCAAAGGCAGAAGTTGGCCGGCTGTTGCCGTTGCTACTGCTGTTGCTATTATTGTTGTTTTCATCGCCGGCAGTAGTACTACTATCCGGTCTGGCTGGTTCGATATCCGGAATTTCGGCTTTTATCAAGCCGACCGGATTCAAAGTTGTACTACAGTGTGCAGTCGATGGCACATGATGCTCCAGCGGACCGGGACTTCCCGAGCCTGTCACTCGATCCGTCACGCTTCCGGGACTGCTGCCTAATCCGCTATCCGGCCTCGAACCCAGATCCAAGTCTAATTCTGACACGCAACTATCCAAATGTCGTAGTAACCTTTGTTTCACCGCAGGGTCCATCGGCGTCGTGTTCCCCGTAATTATGTCCGGGGCATCGAGATACCGACTTACCTGCAACGCAAAGTCATATCGAAAGTGCATGAGTGAAATACTTACTATAACCACTTTTACATGTAACGAGTGTTCGATACTTTTCTTATTGCTAATCGATATTTACGTCTTTCGAGTACATTTTTTAGATCGAAATTGCGTGGGTCACGTGTAAGTTTTCGCAGCAGACGAATACCTTCAGCGATAAACGCAGCACGCTGAATGCAACGTACCTCTCTGGAGCAATCTTGATAGCCAGCCTTGTATCTCGATAAACCAGGCTGGGCAAGAGACCTCTGCCTTTGTAAATGTCGGACTGTTAGCTCTAAAATGTCAGCTTTTTCGAGTTTGCTGTGTTTTGTGTTCTCCAGCCGGGCGCTGTCAAGGATGAGCGCCTTCAGCGCCGCCAACGACTGATTGATTCTAGCTCGCCGTCGCTTTTCCATTAGTGGTTTGTTAGCCTGAAAAATAACGACGATTGTCAGGATAATATAGCATCAAATTATGCGTGATCGTCGTTTCTAAAATGTTCGCCTACCAATATCTATTTTCCCTTCCTTCCTCTTGCTTTCCGTCTACTCTCTTTTGTTATTCCGTACAATACATAGGCATAAACTACGTATCATGATACAAATAAAAGGACTTAATCATTATTGAACTGAAAGAAAAATGAAGTTTTTTACATATCAAAATTTGGACAAACGATAAAAAAAAAAATCGAAGGGTGAAAATAAAGAGATGGAAGTAAGTTGATGAGAACGATATTCCGATCGAACGATTAAACAATTACTTTGTAACGCGAATATTCTAACGAAGTACTATCCTTTGTTTCGTCGTGTAACGAATAACTCGAGATCATAGCTATTATAAATGACAAACATTGTTATATAATTATTACTCCAAACTTAAGAATCATAACACTGAACGTTTAGGCATATGTGTACACGCGTTGCCATTCGTATCTGCGCGGTCATACCAAGAGGTATATTTCACATTTACACTAGAGCAATAGATGGTATCGAATAAACTAAAATAATTTCGGTTTTTATCACTTTTCGATCATCAAGATAGTAGAACCGATTATCGTGAAAATATGGTAAGACCTAAGGTAGATACTCGTTTAGTCACCTTCATCTATATTCCCGCCATTTTTTTGCCCCCCGCAAAATTCGACTAAAATTACCGATTGCGCTTTATCGCATTTTAGGAATGCGAACTCGAGGCTGAGGAAGGATCGACGATCCTCGAAACGAAAATTAAAATTGCGCCAGTTTAACTATTTTTAATTAAAATTACAGCAGGAAGGTATTGGAAAGAATACGAAGAAGCACGAAAGAGAAAAGCTGATATAGTTAGGAAAAATAGGCGAACTATGGAGGAATAAAAGTTTACTCACTCGACGACCATCCGAGTGTTTAGGGCTCGGGCTGAGACTAGGACTAGGGCTGGCTGCCGGACTCGGCCCTTGATGTACGCTTTGTTGATGTTGAGATTGTTGATGATGATGATGGTAATGTCTATGAGTGTTGCCGGCCGATTTTTTTTCTTGATGCCTCAACGAATGAAGACGAGCGGTCATCTTAGTAGGCCACGCGGGCCCTCCGCTGTGACGACAATAATGGGAACGATGATAACGATAGAACTGGTAGTGATATTAACAACAATGATAATAACAGCAACAACGATGATAATGACGGCGGTGATAACGACGGCGATGACCACGACCACAGCGACGGTGACTGCGACGGCAATGACAAAGGCGACAACAACGGCGGCCGCCGCGACGACGACGTCGACGACGACGACGACGACGACGACGACGACGACGACGACGACAACAGCGACGACGACGACGACGACGACGACGACGACAGCGGCGGCGGTGACAACGACGACGACGACGACGACGACGGCGACGACGTCGACGACGACGACGACGACGACGACGACGACGACGACGACGTCGACGACGACGACGACGACGACGACGACGACGACGGCGACGACGACGGCGACGACGACGACGACGGCGACGACGTCGACGACGACGGCGGCAGCGACGACGACGTCGACGACGGTGACGGTGTCGGTGTCGGTGCCGGTGCCGGTACCGGTACCGGTGTCGGTGTCGGTGACGGTGTCAGTGACAAAATGGATTTCAGCGTCCAAAGTAATCGACTGGACGCGGCTGAGACACTCAGCATTTCGCGTTCTAAGAAATTACGCGGCACCACGCTGACACTGGAGTACTATAATTTAACTCGCACACTTTCGACACTAACGTGTAATGCTCGGTTATCGTCCTTTGCTTTTTCTCGTCGTTTCCCTCAACATTTCATTAAACGTTCCCTTAGTCATGATACAAGCACGCATGCAATGTGTCGCATACACGCGTCGTATCAGCTGGAACTACCCCATTGCATCCTATTCCATGGCGAGTAAGGTCGTTCCGTGGTGCAACTTATCCACGATGAAATCATGCGTTTCCCATGCGATTCGTAAACACCATTCGATCCTTAAACCTTGTGTGGAGTTTGCAAGTTTTCACTTAATCTCGGATGGGAGCACATTCCGGCGTGAGGATCAGCACCACGTGCTTTCTCGCACGATACACATTTACGTAGACAAATTTCCAACTGTACCATATTTCATCGCGTACGTTCTTTCACACCATTTTAGCCGTTGCTCCATATCTATTCGTACGTTGCATTTTTCAGCTAACTTTCCCTAGGGAAAAATTTGGTAAATTTTCGAGATGCTTCAATCCTCGCGAATTCGACTCGCAAATGGAATCAACGATCTCGTGTTTCTCGATATTCGTATTTCATCGCGACACATACGCTTATCGGTGATAGAGGTAATAAAGTCCCTTCGTATCATGTTTATATCCGCGTACATGGAAACTCGCTCTTTGAAGAACTCGCGTGGAAATTTGCGAAGGAATTTTTCCTAGACGTTATATCTCAGAATGAAAACGAGCGTCGTTGTAAATTTCATTTCGTCTTTTTTCTCTGGTCCTCTCTTCTATCTTCCTCTATCTTGCGAAACTCGCTGGCATCCTCGCTGGACGGGCAACGGTGACGGACTGCGAATCGACGAGCGGTAGCTGGCGGCTCTTCACCAAGATTCGCGCGTGTGTGAGTCGTGGGCGAGAAGCCGGGAGCCGCACAGAGGATCGCGCCGCGGTTGGTCGTGCGTGTGGCGGGGGTTGGATGGTGGCTGCTTGCCAGAACCGCTGCCGTCAAGGGGCCGAGAGAGAGGATGAGGTTCGCTTGCCCGCTCACGCGCGCCCTTGCCTGCGGCTACGTCTACCCTCTCTCTTTCACCCTCTCGCTCTTTCTCTCTTTTTCCCATTTCTAGCCAGTTGCTAGTTGCACGCGACCTACCTTGATCTCCTTTTTCTCTTTTTCGTAATGCCGCTTACCGTCTAACAACCGTGATGCGTCGTTAAAACAGCCACCAATTTGAATTGTCTTCGAAATTTTTTCCGCCAAACTGCGCGAATTTTTGGAACCTAAATACACGCGTGTATACGTAGCGGCGTAGAAAACCTATGGTGCACCAGGGAACGCGATAGGGAAAGCAACCAACGAATAATCGATTATACCAAACTCGTAGATCGTAGTTATTAGAATGACCGTTGGAAAATTCGCGTAAGGAGGGTTCCCCGAACTCTATTGAATCGAAGGTGGTTGCGAAACGGGCTGATTCATCGTGGTCTGGCGACAAACAGTCTGTGTAAAAATTGTTTAAATACCGCGCAACTTTGGCATCTATCCGCACACGTATCTCGGACGTGTGGTTCTCGACGAGTGGTTCTCGAATAACACGGAGAAGATTTCGTATTAAACGCAACAAACGACGAGCATCGTTACTGTCCACGATGGCCTTTAATCTCCTCCTATCTGTCCGTCCGTCCGTCTGTCTGCTTGTCTGTCTCTCTGTCTGTCTGTCTACCTGTCTGACGGTCTCTCCCCGCACTTTCCCTTTTTTTTTTTATATTTCTGTTCGCTCTTTCACTCGTTCTTTCCAGCTCGCTGTCGCACGCTGCAAACGAAAAGGCGGCGATGGTAACGGCAGCAGCAGGTCGTGTGCGTGTGACTGGATATAGACGAGGATAACGCCGTGGCGTAGGAAATTACGACGAGTTGCCGAAGAAAGGTGACGGTGGGGGACGGGTGGGGTGAGGGGAGAGGGAAGCGGGCCGGGTGGCGGGTGATGGCTCGTTGTCGGTGCTGGCGTGGCACGAGCCAGCACGGCGTGGTCTCGAGGTGGCGTGGCACGATGCGACGCGACGCGCCACGGCGTGGCGCGATGCAGCGCGGCGTGGCCCGAATCGAGCCGACTCGGTTCAACGTAGCGCGCGCGATGGTCGAGGGAGTGGAGCAAGTGCCGTCACAGGACAAGCTCGATCCGTGCTGTTCGGCTCGTCGAGGTGATGAGCCCTCGAGGCGGGTGGTGGGCAGAGGGTGACGAGCGACTGGCGGCAGGCGGCGGCAGGCGGCGCTCGGCGGACGATGGACGGCATGCGGCGAGAGGTGTGTGTAGGTTGGGCGGCGTGCGGCGTGCGGCATGCGGCGTGCGGCGTGCGGCGTGTGGCGTGAGGCGTGCGGCGTGCGGCGTGAGGCGTGCAGCGCGGCGTGCGGCGAGTAGGGAGAGACGGGCGGCGGCCGCCGGCGCTGCCGTTTCATGGCTTATGGAGGGAGGGAGAGAGAGCGAGCGGTCGAACGGATGGACCGTGGAGACCGTGAAGCATACAGCGAGTGTGTTGGAGGGCGATGAAGCGGCGGCGCTTGAGGGGAAACGAGTGAACCAGGAGGCAAAGAAGAGACGTGGGTGTGGAGAGCGAGGAAGTGTGTGCGCCGGTAAGGCGTCGGCAGCGGGGTCGGAGGAGATAGTCGTCGGCACGCGCGGCGCAAAGCTCTCTCTACCCACGCAAACGTACCAACGTACTACGTGCGAACGAGCTCGTACGTGAGAGCGTGCGTGTCAAGCTGCCTGCGTGCCAGCGTGCCGCCCTGTCGCTCGGCCGCCACGGCGTGTCAGCGTACCGTTTCTCCTCTACCTCCACGTATCCTGTATTCGTGCGCCACGACAAACTGATGTTGGCTTGCACGCGCGAGTCCAGTGACAGAGCTAATCAAATGCTTCTACTATTTCGTGTTTCGAAATTAATCTCCGCGATCGAAACAATTACGCCGTGGGGCGATCGTAGGTTAAGTTCCCTATTTTTTCTTTCCCAATATTTATCCGTATAACCTCGTTACTGTTATATATAATTACAAACGATTATCGCTAACAGTAACGCATCTTCGATGCATTCTGATACGATTATTCAAGGCATTTCCTTGATCTTTTGTACCTAAGTACGTATCTAGTATCTCTAAATACGTATGCGCGCAAAGTTTTCATCGTTTGGCTCGCAATAAAGCGTTTAAGCGAACTGCGTTACAATTTCCACGCGATGCACGGTGAATTAGATAAATTCGATTGACACGCCGTCGCGGAGCGAATTGGAAGCTGAGCTAGGTTAACGTATAGCGCGTATACGGCATGTACGAAATGGAGCGCATGGACGAAACAATCGAAGTAAACGTAAGGATAGAAGCGCTAAAGGAAGTGGGGAAGAAAAGGAAAGTAAAGGGTGGATGGAAGTAAGAGGAAAGTGACAGATTACCTTCTCTCGCGGCAGTATACGTACATGCATATATAGGTGAGAGAATGGCGTCGTAGGTGTAGTTCGAAGCGGAAAAGGGAAGCGGAGAGCGTAGCGAGGAAGCAGTGGCGAAAGCTAGGAACGCATACGAATAAGGAAAAAATTTGCGAAACTTTTTCGCGGTGTGGGGCATCGCGATGCGACCATACCATGGCCACGCCATTGCCAAGCCGTTACCACGCCGTTATCCCATCGTTCTTTACCACTCCAAGCCACACATAGCGCTATGCATCGCGGTATACCTCGCCACGTTGCAGTACACTTTACATCGAGGGCTCTCCTTTCTTTTTCTCTCCGTTAAAGCGCTTGCTTTCGTTTCACTTCTTAAATGCGACTAGGCGAGGCGAGGTGAAACTCACGAGGACGTGGTTTATACGCACCTCGTCGACGTATTTTACCTCGTCTTGTTATTTTGCAGGAAGCAACGCAAAGGGAGGAATGTAAACAACGAGGAAGATGATAGCGCGGTCCAACGTAAGCGTGCGAATTTTCGCGAAACAATTGCGATCGCGACGAAGCGGTATCAGCTAAACATCTCGCATAAATTGACACCGTCTCGTTGTTTCCCTATCCTTTTTCTACTCGGGTAAACCGCGAAGAAAAGACCGATCTTTGGTAATTTTTTTGTACAATAAAACCTCGTCGAAATTTTTCGTCATTTTGCACGCGTATTCATCAACGTTTCAAGACATGTACACTTTTTTTTCGCTACATTTTATCGACTTTTGCGAAAATTATTAACCTTGTTCCCCGGGAACCTCCCGGTCCACGGTGTTGATTGATGCGCAGGCAAGCATTTTTTCCTTCGATCTGGAACAAAAAGACAAACGGAGTTTTATTCGCGATAGAATTACGGATCGTACGAACCTAAATTCCGTTTAGAGAAATGCAAAAAGGATAGTAAATACGCAACTATGATAATAAATGATTTTCGGATTAAATTTGGATAAAGGTTTAATTATTCGATAAACGTAGTTTGAACGATTAATATTACGAATCAAGTGGGATCATACAACGAAGAATTTATTTGTATATATATGCTTCGAGTCGGTTCGATCGATCGATTATTTCTTTACGTTGCACACCAATTTCAGCATTGCTCGAAGTTCGTACGACACTGCGCTGGTGCGCAACTTCGAATTTCCTAATACGATAATTCCGAGCCATCGAGACAGTCATATGTGGTTTCCGTTACCATCGACACGATAGACAGAAAGGGCGAAGGATATTTGAGGCAACCATAAATTGCCAGTCGTAAGCTCCAACAGCTCGTAACTGCAAATACAGTGACAACGAATGAGAATTTTGATCTCAAATTCTCACACCATATTTTTCAGACGTGAAAGTACTTTTTTAAGTAAAAAGAAAAAGAAATTTGGCTTCTTTTGACCCGTTACACATTCTCCATTCTGTTACCATCACCGATAGATAGAAAGAACGAAGGATATTTGAGACAACCATAAATTGCCAAGAGAATTCGCAAAGGATATTTGAGGCAACCATAAATTGCCAGTTGTAGACTCGAACAGCTCGAAACTGCAAATACAATGACGACTGAGAATCTTGATCTCGAATTCGCAAAAGAATTTTTCAGACGTAAAAGTACTATTTTAAGTAAAAATCAAAAGATAATGAAAAAATTCGACTTTTTTTAACCCTTTGAAGCAACCATAAATTGCCAGTCGTAGGCTCCAACAACTCGCAACTGCAAATACAGTGACAACGACTGAGAGTTTTGATTTCAAATTTCCACGCCGCGTTTTTCAAACGTGAAAGTACTTTTTTAAGTAAAAAGGAAGAAAAATAATAAAATTCGACTGATTTTTACTCATCGCATGTTCTTCGTTCCATTACCATCGACGATAGACAGAAAGAGCGAAGGATATATGAGGCAACCATAAATAATTGCCAGCCATAGGCTCTAACAGCTCTAACCTGCAAACACAGTGATGCCTGAGGATTTTCATCTCAAATTCCCACACCGTGTTTTTCAGACGTGAAAGAACTTTTTTAAGTAAAAAGAAAAAAAAGAAAATGAAAAAATTCGACTTTTTTCGACCCGTCACATATTCTTCGTGCCGTTTGATATACCCATGCGTAATTGACGTGGTTAGGTTAGGTTAGATTAGGTTAGGTACACTATACTCGTGGCTGAGATACGCTTCGTTCGTTTGTCCCTAGATTTCGCGATGCACCTAAAGAGTCGATCCTGCGATACAGGATACCTTACTAGAAATTTGTAAGAAATTCGGCTATCGTTTTTCTCTTTGACGAGTGTGGCGCGCGTGACCGCGCGTAACGAAGGCGCCATGTCACATGGCGCAATGTCCTAATTAATAAAAATAAAGCAACGTCGAGGACGCTATAGCCTTTTCGAAAGATTCCTCCGAAGCTTCCGTCATCGCTGTTTGGAACTGTCGTCGCCATCGAGTACAACTCGATCGATCGACAGCAAACTCAACGTGCCACGTACTTTTCGCGATAAGGTGCAGGATAGAGGAAGAGAAGGGAGAGACGAAGATAGGAGAGGGAAAACTTCAGCATTGATCGTTCCCAGAAGAAGAGAAGGAGCCGAGCGAAACGAAGAAGAGGCGTACACGAGAAATTCGAGACGCCCGGCGTCGCCCGGCGGCGAAACGTTATCCGGTATGCAAGAAAGGACGTCCTCATTAGCGGGACCCGACGTCGTTTCAGCTCAACAGGAGCGATCGTGGCGTGGCTCGACGTGATACCGCGTCAACCCGTCTTGGTTCAGTCCGCCACTGCTATCCCTCCCGCACGTATTTACACTCTTCTTCGATGATATATCCAAAATATCAAAAAGTCCCAGGAATTACAAATGCATCGGTCGATACGCCCTCGCGCCGACCTAACGATTTTTCCAAAATATATACGATTTTATTGCATTTTACCACTGTGATCACGTAACCGATGAATTACCTTTCGATCGCAAGGAAAAACACCAGCTGCACGTTGAGATTTCGCCAAGTCCTAATTTCCTTCGATAATTAGGTTACAGAACGCGATGCTATTTATGAGAAAAAGAAAATGGATAAATCTATATTTTCAAAGAAAATATTTTGATATTTTGAAAACGAAGATATGCGGCCTTCCTCTTTACAATTGCGAAATAATAAGAAGCAAACGGGAATATAGGTATAGGGATGGTCAGTGGAAGAAAGGAATATCGTAAAATATGCGCTAACGCGGGTAAAAAAATATTAGTTCGAAAATGGGATATGGAAAATCTTTAACAAGCAGAATAATAATTTATAATCGACGCATAGTAAACCGTGTTGTAGAGAAAGGAATGTATAGCGATTATGAAAAGTGTAAAAAGTATGAGGAAGATAAGGTATCGTTCAGTAGCTGAAGTATAATATATCGCCATTTTATAAATATGTTAATATTACGAACGCGTATTTGAATTTGAGATTCAGCGCATAGCGCGGTGTAATTTTTATCGCTGTTATTTATTCTTCTTCTTAACATCTTCGTAATCGCTCAGCCATACGTCCTACTGGAACGTCTCCTGACAGAAGGCTGATCCCTCGAGCTGCGATGCCCAACTACTAAACTGCGACCTCGGTTCGAGTTCGCCGTTAATCCGTTTATCGCGTTACCGCCACCACCAGTCTAGCAACCCCCGACCGATTCACCTACCGCCCTCTACTCCACCGTCCAACACATATCAACGATGTCGGAGACGCATACCGGCTCTAAATAGACGTTAAAGTAACACCACGAAATTTAACATTATATTTCCTTCCTGTCGATATTGCAACTATATTTTTTTGAAACTATTTTTAATTTCGGTTAATTACACTTGAGAATAGTGTTTTAGAGAGATGACGAAATTGAACACCACGAGGTCTAAAGTTATATTTCCTCTCTGTTGATATTGCAACTATATTTTTTGAAACTATTTTTAATTTCGATTAATTACATATGATAATAGTGTTTTAGAGAGATGACGAAATTGAATACTACAAAATTTAAAAGTATATTCCCACATTGTCAATATTACAACTATATTTTTTGAAATTATGTTTAATTTCGGTTAATTACACATGACAAGAGTATTTTAGAAATATTTTTAATTTCGGATAATTACACATGACAATAGTATTTTAAAGAGATGGTGGAATTAAACACCAAGAGGTCTAAAGTTATATTCCCATCCTATCAATATTGCAACTATATTTTTAAAAATTATGGTTAAAATTTCGTTTAATTGCACATGACAATAGTATTTTAAGGAGATGGTGGAATTAAACACCACGAGATCTAAAGTTACATTCCCACCCTATGAATATTGCAACTATATTTTTGGAAATCATTGTTAATTTCGTTTAATTACGCATAATAATAGTATTTTAGAAAGCTGATGGAATTAAATATTACAAAATTCAAAGTTGTATTCTCAAATGGTCAATATTGCAACTATATTTTTGGAAATTATTTTTAATTTTGGATAATTACACGTGACAATAGCATTTTAAAGAGATGGTGGAATTAAACACCAAGAGATCAAAAGTTATATTCCCACCCTATCAATATTGCAACTATATTTTTGGAAATTATTGTTAATTGCGTTTAATTATACATAACATAGTACTTTAGAAAGGTGAGGAAATTAACACTAGAACTACCAACTCAGTCAAAATGACTGGTCCCAGAATTTTCCTTTTTGAAAGATGATGGAATTAAACACTACAAAATTCAAAATTATATTCCCACACTGTCGATATTACATCTGTATTTTTTGAAACTGTTTTTAATTCCATTTAATTATTTATGACAATAGTACTTCATATAGATGTTGAAATTAACCACTATAAGATCTACAATTATATTATTACCATGTCAATTTTTAATTACATTTTTTCTAAACTATCTTTAACATGGTTTAATTACATATGTTAATAATACCTTACACGAATGATAAAACTAAACACGACGAGACCTAAAATTATGTTATCAGTGTGACAATTTCTAACTACATCTTTTCTAAACTATCTCTAATGTCATTTAATTACCCATGATAATAATACTTTACATAAATGATAAAATTAAACACCGCGAAATCTAATGTTACATTAGTAGTGTGTCAATTTTTAACTATATTTTTCCAAACTATCATTAATATCATTTAAATATATACGTTTAATTATATCAATACTTCGCATAAATTTCGCAAAATCTAGTATCACGTTACCACTATATCAATCTCCAACTATACTTTTCCTAATCTTTCATATTATCTATTATTACGTATGATACTAACACTTTTCTCAAATTTCGAAATTGAGCACTTCCATCTTCACTGCTCGAAATATCCTTCCTTGGAATTTTCTATTTCGGTAATAAATCACATATATCTACGAATATATCTCGACATCTTTTCGTTGATTGTCGAGAGGGCGTAAATGCAATGTGGCGAAATTTAAATACAGGTAACCCTTCTATAACACGGTAGATCGGTTCTCAGAAAATGCCGTGTTGTACGAAACCCAGACGCAGTACAAAAAGTGAGGTTACGTTCTGAAAATTTACTAAAAACAATTTTTTTTCTAATTCTACATAAACAACTTAATTTTTATTAAAAATATAAATGTATGTACAACACAAAACAAAAAAAAGGCAAAAATATTATTTTAATTTAACATAACTTTAATTTAATAAATTTCTTCGTCGTCACTGCTCATGTAGAAGTACAGTGTTGTACAAAGGTCTCTGCAATTTTCTTATTGTGCTAGAGCGAAACCGTGTTATAGGATGCCGTGTTGTAGGAGGGTTCTCGCAATTTATGAATCGTGTTATAGTGAAACCGTGTTATAGGAGGGCTACCTGCATATAGATATTTTGCATAAAAATCGCAAAACCTAAAATCACGTCATCACTGTATCAATCTCCAACCATACTTTCCTTAATCTTTGATATTTTCTATTACATATGATACTAATACTTTTCGTAAATTCCGAAATTTAACCCTTTCATTTCCATTACTCAAATTATCCTTCACTGGAATTTTCTATTTCGGTAATAAATCACATATATCTACGAATATATCTCGACATCTTTTCGTTGTTTGTCGAAAGGGTGTAAATGCAATTTGGCGAAATTTAATTATATCGATACTTTGCATAAATGTTGTAGAACCTAAACTCACGTTACCATTATATCTATATCCAACTATACTTTTCTTAATCTTTGATATTATCTATTATTACGTATGATACTAATAATTTTCTCAAATTTCGAAATTGAGCACTTCCATCTTCACTGCTCATAATATCTTGCCCTGGAAGTTTCCTTTTTGGTACTAAATCGTACACACCTGCGAATATCTCGCGATAATATCTTTTCGTTATTCATTAAAATGGCGTAAATGCAATTTGACGTAAGTTTAATTATATCGATACTTTGCATGAATATCGCAAAACCTAAAATCACGTTACCATTATATCTATATCCAACTATATTTTTCCTAATTTTTGACATTATCCAATTGCGTATGATACTAATATTTTACGCAATTTCCGAAATTCAACCCTTCCATTTACATTGGAAATCAAGAGATTGTTTATCTTGTCATTGTTTATTGAGAGTAAATGCAATTTGGCGTAAGAAAAAATTTTTTCGAGGCACACGACACCCTGGGAGTCGAATAGCGGCTAAGGGCTGGAACACTCGAACGTGCTGGCTACACGTTCCAGAGTCTAGACTCGAGATAGAAGATAGCTGTATCTAGTCTAGGCTAGCCGTAATCGCCATTCGCCACATCCCCGGACTGACTGCCTTCTTTCCCTCTCTCTAACCACTCGCACATTCTCTCTCTCTCTCTCTCTCTCTCTCTTCCTCCCCTTCCGTTTCAGTTCCTTTATCACTCTTTACGTTGTTCGTGACAGCGAGTGTGTGTGCGTACACAAAGACACAAAGCAAGAAAGAAAGGGGACACAGATGAACGAACGAGTAACCGTTCTTCTCTTCCGTCGAGTCCCCTCGGGAATCCGCAATCCGGCGTCCGCGATCTCGTCATCCACCCCCTTGCTTCACTCCGGTTCTTCTCAAGCCACATCGACCCTTGGTTCTAGAGATCCTTCGGATTTTAACTTTGTCCCTTGCACGAACTAGCGAAAGAATTCTCCCGGGAATTGAACGTGGACGATATTCTCGTTGCTTGATTCGCGACTCTTAAACCAAAAGCGAGTTTTCCTCTCGTATTTGGGTCAAATTTTTCAAATATCCCCATTTTCCACCTTACCTTCTTCCCTACTCCTCTACCTTCGTTTCTCGTTAAATTTTTAAACGTAATAATTAAGGTTACGTTGCGACAATTTCATCGACACCTCTGTGATCTTACCACGGTGATAAAGATCGATAATGATCGATAATAACGATCATTCTTTTTCACCGAAATCTCTTCCAAAGGATTATAAATATTCTAACAATTTATCGTAATATATCACGATTTAATGATCGTCTTCGAATTTTTAATTAAAAGTCCCAACGTTGCTACCTGGGAGACATGTCTTCGCAGCTTTTCTTCTAATATTCGTTAAGATCCATCCTTCCAAGTTTCTCCGTCCTTATCGTTTGCTCACCAGCCACCTGACCGGTCGTGATAGGTCTAGTGTGAATTATCGACAGTGACCTGTACCTATTAAAAATGCTTGGAGGTGTCTGGAAGCGACCACGACTATTCTCGTTGACGCGAGAGAGATCGGTTCTGGCCGGTGCCGAAAGAACGGATAAGACAAACGGATGCGAGTGGCGGTGTATGAAAGTAGGAGAACAGAGAGTATAGTTGCAGTTAGAAGGAGAAAAGTAGCTGGCGTATGTTGCGTATTCGTGTATCCGGAGCCACCGCGATACCAGTGGGAAGCCATTAGCCAAATTGCGAGGTGTCTGCTCGTTGCACCGCTCTATTACCTTCGAGCCGCTTTTCATCGCACCTCCTAACCCAGACCTACCCATAGTCTTCCTATCCTTCCAACCTCTTCATTTTACGCGTCTCTTTCGCTCATTCTTCCATCCTATTCCTACGAATTTTCCTACTTCTTTCTAACACTCTAGCACGCTATTTTACGCCTTCATATTCTCCCATTTAATTATCCCCCGTACCTACATCCCTCTCTTTATTTCCCCCGTTTTCATCTTGACCATCGAGAATCGCGAAATATCGTTGTTCCTATAATGAAACTGCATTATTACTTACGATCTTCCTATCCTTTCCAATCTCTTTGCGCATCGCTTTCCGCCATTTTTCCATTCTATCATCGCGAGTTCTGCCATTCCTTTTTAGCCTGGTGTCTTATCTCGCTATTTCGCATTCCGACATTTTGTCATCTGATTATCCGAGTAATTCGTCGCTCTATTTGCTTCCTGATTTTCCTTTCGATCATCGAGAATCGTGAAGTATCGTTGTTCGTGATACGAAACTTGCTATTTGTTTATGATCTTTCTGTTCTTATAGCATTTTCATTTCGTGCAACTCTGTCGTTCGTTCTTTCATCGTAGTTTTAATTATTATGTTATTATAAGATTCTAATATCTTGTATAATTATCTACGTTATCTGTTTATTACTCCCATCGTTTTTCTGATTCTCCTTTTGATTATCGAGAATTATGTAGCACCATTGTTCGCATAATGACACGCCATTACTTCCCGCAGTATTTCTATCCTTCGCCAATTCCTTGCTTCGCGCGTCCCTTTCGTTTATTTTTCAATTCTATTGTTAAAAATTGTACTAGTTCTTTCTAATATCGCTAGTATTACACTGTTTTACAATTTAATATTTTGTTATTTAATTATCTGCGTTTCCTATTTCTTATATACATCGTTTCTCTAATTTTTCTTTCGATTATTGAGAATAATAAAGTATCGTCTAATGAAAATTGCTAGAAATTCTACTATTTTCCATTTAATGTGATATTTTACTACTTTAAATTCTCATATTTCGTCATCTGATTGACTTCTGTATAAAATAAATTATATACAACATTAATACACATGGTATTATCTTACAAAAGAATGTAATTATCAATATTTTTGAATGAAAGTATTTGTAATAGCATTGTTTATTATTAATAATTAACTGCATATAACATATTATGCAAAAACATGTAAATTTATATATAATTATTGATTAACTACACATAAATACTATGTAAAGTTATTTTCTGTTAAAAATAAAACTAAAGTATACTTTGTTTCGATTTATTAAACCTAAATATGGCACTTCTGTATAAAATGAATTCCATGTAATAATAATACACACTGTATTATCTTATTAAAAATGTAATTATAAATATCTTCGAATGAAAATATTTCTAATAGCATTGTTTGTTATTAACGTTACTTGTTTACCATTTACTTTCTCCATTTTTCTAATGTATTTTTTCATCGTTGATTGTCATGTGCAAAATATAGGATGTCCCAAAATTCAAGCATGATTTAAATTTGGCGCCATTTGTGTGGTAAAATGTTGCCAATGAACAAGAAAAGACAGCTTGACAATTGACAGTTTAAATTATCAAAAATGAAGCACTACATGAAAGAACAACGCGTCTTCATTGTTGAATACTTACAATTTTTAAAGAAAAACCTGTATGCAGGTTTTCTATCAAAATTATTTCTTGTGTGAATTTTGGGACACCCGATATAATAGTGTGTGTAATGAAATTTTATTAGTACTCGTAGACTTATTTCGATCTCTTTTTCCAGATTTTTCTATAAAACTCCACATCAAAAATTCAACTATCTAACAAATTCTTTTATTTTATTCTAACACAATCTTCTGCTATCCTAATATTTTGTCATCCGATTATCTGAAATATCTATTTATTATTTCTCCCATTTCTCTAACTTTCTTCGTCGAACGAGTATCATGATGTAACATTGTTCGTGTAACGAAACTCTGTTTCTAACTATAATTTCACTATAATCTAACTAAACCTTTTCGGTTTACACGACTCTTTGTTTTATTCCTCGATTTTATTTTTGCAAATTTCCCTATTCATTGTAACGCGCAATTGAATTATTTTAAATTCTAATATTTTGTTGTCTATTTTCGCTATTTGTTATTGCAATGCAAATTTCCGATTTTACTTTGACTGTCAAGTATCGTAAAATATCACTGTTCGTGTAACGAAACATTAGGTACTACCTATACTCCTTCTATCCTTTCAATTTCTTAATTTTTATTTTAATTATGCTTTATTTTTAACTCTAATATTTTGTTTCCCAATTATCTATTTTCGTTATTTGTTATTGCAATGCAAATTTCCGATTTTACTTTGACTGTCAAGTATCGTAAAATATCACTGTTCGTGTAACGAAACATTAAGTACAACATATAGTCCTTCTATCCGTTTAATTTCTTAATTTTTATTTTAATTATTCTTCATTTTAAATTCTAATATTTTGTTACCCAGTTAACTATTTTCGCTATTTGTTATTGCATTGCAGGTTAGCGATTTTAGTTGCATGAAACTGTTCGTGTAACGAAACATTTGGTACTACTTATAGTCCTTCTGCCCTTTTAATTTGCTAATTTTTATTTTAATTATTCCTTATTTTAAATTGTAATATTTTGCCACCCAATTATCTACGTTGCCTATTTACTCGTCGTTCCTTTAATTTTCCTTTTGAATATCGAGAATCACGAAATATCATATACAACTGTATGTGTGCATTACACACATACACAAGTACCTTTTTATACTGTTAAAATTTCATTCATTCTTTCCTTTATTTCTGAAAATTCTATTTTATTTTAACTCGTTACTCTGCAATTTTAATTTCCAACATTTTATCACTCGATCATCTAAATTAACTATTTATTATTTCTATTCTTCTGCTGATTTTTCTTTTGATCATCGAGTATTACGAAATATCATTGTTCGTCAAACTCGTTTGCTATGAATAGTCTTCCTATTCCACTAAGTCTTTTATTTTATGAAATTCTTTCGCTTATTATACGACTATACTTGTACATATTCTACTATTTAATTCTAACATAGTATACTATTATTTTATTTCTCTAATTGAGAAGCTTCTCAAAATAGGAAACCTTTCTTCGATCATCGCACTTTTAAAGTCTGTTTCTTATTATAGTTTCATTTTATACTAAAGATGAAGTTAACGCAATATCAATTACGTTTTACAAACGTAAAAGTTTCAACTTTGAATGTTTCGAAACACGATTTTGGTAGATGGAACCATGCAAAAATCTCCTGAATTTTTCTTTGGACTATCAACACCACGAAGAATCATTTTTTGTATAACAAAATTCCATTCCACGTGATGTTTATTAGTTAGTAAGTACATAGACGTAAGTGTGTTAAATTATATTTAAACGAACTAACAGTAAGTATACGATGGAAGATGATACTCTCATTTAACACTAAATCTACCGTAAACCGTTCTTATATTTTTGCTAAAAAAAATTCTGCATTCAACGTTATTGCTTTTGTCACTTAATTTTTCGTATTTTCTTACAATCCATTTTTCAATAGCTATCTCTTATTTCTTCGTTCTGTTTCTTCTAAGATTCGTACGTAGCATGCTTTATGTACCAAGACCGATCATTCGACTGATATAAAAGCTTATGTCTTCGTATAACATGTCAAATAAGATATCAAAAGAGCAACAGAGCGAACATAACCTCTTTCAACCGGAAAAAATACATTTTTGAAGAAATTACAACGATGAAATTGCGATAAGATATCAAAAGAGCAATAGAGCGAACATAACCTCTTTCAACAGAAAAAATTACATTTCTGAAGAAATTACAACGATGAAATTGCGATGTATATGCAATTTGGTAGATGAGAATGAGATCTCTACTTTTACCTTTCATCTATACAAACGCATACAACTGTCGTTTATTTTGGATTTTCTATTCTTTCTCAGAACAAAAATGAAGGAAATTGATATCTTTCTGAATTATTAAAAACTTATCGTATTCATTCGTTATTACTTGCACAGAACTGACTATTACTTATGGACCAATCAATCGGTCGCTCCTGTAGAAATACCTATATAAATAACTATATAAATATAAATTTGTAAAAATATATAAATAAATCTAAATATATAAGTACATACAAGTTAATGTTGTTTAACTGAATTGCCTGAATTTAGTTGCAAATCATTCGTCATATAAGAAATGTTTCGAACAAAAGTGGGAAAACAAAATTGGAAAATTATTATATTCATTCATTATTA